GGGAGTGCATTCCCAAGTGCATTCCTCTATGTGGTTGCAGGGAATGAGCCCAGGGTAGGAGAGCCCGGCAGGCTGAGGGTCTGCAGTGTGCCAGGCCCGGGCTTGGCATGAAGGCACCAGATGTCAGAGGTGTGGCTGCCACCCAAGAGGACACACCTGATGGGGCTCCGGGAACAGGATAATGGTGGAGATGTCACATCCAGAATAACTGTTAGGAGGGTGAACTTGACAGGAGTTTTACATCGCAGGAATCAAAAAGGCACCTAAAATTACCTTAAGTAATAGAGGCGCAGGAAACCACCAACTCTAGGAAGATAGACAGGGTGACCTGAAAATGGGTTTGACTTGCTGTTTTCCTGTCATTCTGTGCATGGCGTCAGCTTCCTCCCAAGATTGGCACTGTGTAGGACTTAGGTGTTTGCCAGCCCAGTTGACGCTGTCTGCTTTATTGCTCACCACTAGCAGAAAGTTGGGGGCTATGCCTCACAGTCCGGGTGACAGAGAAGGTTTAGATGGAGACTCAGTCACACTTTCTGGGGACTAGATATACATTTCATAGCAGGAGCCAGGTTATACTAAAGGAATCCTGGCCCGAGGATATCAGCACCCCATAGAGATGGAGATTCCAGGGAGCTCGGGAACCAAAAGGGCAGTGACAGTGAGCACTGCCCACAGAGGGGGCGCCCTGCAGTCAGGAGGGGAGGGAAACAGGTGCGGATCAGCAGCCAAAAGAGGTCCATCCAGGTGAGCACAGGTGGAGTTGCTGGTGGGACAGAGTGTGCTGGTTGGGAGGGGAAGGCGGGGCCTGTAGCCAGCTTGGGCTTGTTAACAAAAGCACCAAACTCTTAAATTATCTGTAAGAGGTTTCTTCTGAGCCAATGAGTGGCCATGGCCTGTGAAGTCTCAAGGGGTCTTGAAAAACTTTGCCCGGGGCAGTCGTTTTACACATTTGAGGGGACAGGAATTGGAGTAACATCATAAATCAACCCATGGAAGGTGTACATTGATTCAGCCTAACAAGGTGGGATATCTTGAAGTAGGGTGGGTGTAGGTTGTTATAGGTCACAGGTGGATTTTAAGATTTTCTGATTGGCAGTTGGTTGAAAGAGTTCAGCTTTGTCTAAAGACATAAAGTCAGTACAAATGAATGCTTCAGTTCAGAGAGAGAGAGTCTGCCTCTGCCACATGATGCTGTCCCAGAGTCAGGGAGGTAAGTCAGCCACAGTATCCTGGGTCAATTTAAAACCCATTGATGGAGATTCTGTGGTTTCCAGGGTGTGTGTTAATTTTTGCTTTGCATGGCCTCTCGTGTTGTTCATAATCTGTACCTGATTGTCACAGACTCCGTTCAATGAATAATCTAACGACGTCTACTTTAATATTCATGCTGGTCAGTTTGGAGCTTATACTCCAAAAGTACAGGCTCTCATGAGGTTTCTCCGACCTCCCCTTCCATCATGGCCAGGAATTTATTTTTTTCAGGTTTCCCTGGGGTCCCCTTGACTAAGAGGGGGTCTGTTCCATTGGCTGGGGTCTCAGGATTGCAGGACTTTAGACAGCCTCACAGCATGGTGCAGGGCGCTTGGCCGGATTTTCCTGAACCCTGAACTCCATGGCTTATGGGATAAGGGAGCTGTGGGCCACCTGGATTCTGCTGAGATTCTTTCCCCAGGCACAGGTGCGGGTCTGGCCTTGGCCCTTTCTGTTCCTTTCAGAAGCCCATAGAGGTGAGGACAGGAGGCTTTGGGGTCAGGGACAGAGGCTCCTGTCACTGAGACTTTGTTGTACTTCTGGAAAGAAACTATTGTTGCAGTTCATCTGCCTCTCTGCAGTGCTGATGTGTAGCCCCAGCAATTCCAGTCCACTCTTGGCAGCCAGCCTTGAACACAGAACTGACCAGCCACATAGAAAACCTGAAATAAAACCTCTAGAATGCAGCCTCTCAAAAATGCTCACCAGAGCTGGGTGAGGTTGCTCACGCCTCTAATCCCAGTGGGTGGATCACCTGAGGTCAGGAGTTTGAGATCAGCCTGGCCAATGGAGTGAAACCCTGTCTCTACTAAAAATATAAAAATTCGCTGGGTGTGGTGACATGCACCTGTAGTCCCAGCTACTCGGGAGACTGAGGCAGGAGATTCGTTTCAACCCAGGAGGCAGAGGTTGCAGTTAGCCAAGTTAGCACCACTGCACTCCAGCCTGGGAAGCAGAGTGAGACTCTATCTCAAAACAAGACAACGTTCACCAGAGTTTCTTAATCAGACTTGGCGTAGCCAGTGAGCTTCTGCTGCCTGCTGTGACGTGGATGCTGTTTTTCCCACTAAAAGCCCAGACCTCTGCCTCGGGAGACAGGGCTCAGCTGCAGCCCCTCAGCTAACCATCAAGGGCTGTGTGGGCCCCACAGGGGCTCCTTAAACCCACAGTGTTGTGCAGATTTGTGGGCTCACTTTCTACATCAGATCTCCAAAGGTGTCTGCGATCCCAAAAGGCTGGAAACTATTAAATTTGATCATTTCTGAAATGTCTTCCAGTTAAAAAGTCCTCATTTCCAGTTCATTTTCAATAAATAAAGGGATGGGTCCTGGAGCCTCCTGGGAAGCTGGCCTGCAACTGAGCACTTGCTGCAGATAATGCTGGAAGTGCAAACCCAAAGATCATGTGTCTGGCCTGCATGTGGAAGCTTTCATAGTCAGGTCTTGCTTTGTGACAGTGAGGGGTGACCAGGGAAGCCTATGTGAGGGGCAGGGGAAGAACAGCAGCTTAGCCTGGGGAGCTGCCTTAACCACAGCTCACCTCACTTCCTCTGAGCTAAGGGTTTCTTGAAGGGAATATGCAGATTTATAAAAATACTAAGCAAGCTGGGTGTTTTTTTTAAAAAAAGGAAAAAAAAAATTTCACTCCAAGGACCCTGCGTTAGGCTCAGAACTGGTGGCACAACTGAGGAGTCACAGAACACTGCTCTCAGAAAGTGTTAGGGCAATTAAAAAAATAAAGAAAAAAGACAACAAAGAGGCTTAATCCTCCCTGTAAAAAACAAGGGAAGCGGTGTCCTCTCTCCCTTTTCTTAGAGCATTTTCTTTGGAAAACCTGTCATTGTAAATCCTTCCTCTGCTTCTTTGAGGGGCATGCAAAGCTTTTTGACAGTGAAATAAGTCTCTTCTCAGCTTTGCAACCCAGGACTGTGTTCCTGAAGGACCTGGGAGTCTAGTCTTTGAAATGCCACCATCAGAGCAGCCAGGGCCCTATCTGCCAGCTTCGGTGGGAGCCTACCATCTGCTCTGAGTGGTAAAGCTACCTCCTGACATTAAGAGTTTATTTTCCTTTGTAACAAGGTAATTAGCAAACGCAGGTGGTCAGGTAAATTGAGGTTGAATCTCCAATGAAATGAGTGTCACCAAAGGTGCTGTGCAGTCCCCTGACTAAACATGGCTTTTCTTGAGAAAGTGTGCAGTGTGCAATGGGTTGGGCCCACTGGCTAGTTTAGCGATGAGATTTCTGTCTTTGCAGCGCCTTAGCGGATCATTCCCTGTGATGTGCATCTCACTCTGGGTTAATGCCTCTTCCGTGATGAAAGTGTTTTCTTCTTTTACCTCTGCAGAGGTTTACTGGGATAGATTGATTGTAATTCTATTTCTGCACCACTAGAGGACAGACTTTGGGGTTAGGCAGCTGGGGAGGAGTTTAGAACCTACGCCTAGGCCTTCCACACTCCTCAGGCACCCAGTTCATCAGTAGCAGAACTTAAACCCAGGACTTCCTGGACTCCATACTGACTGGAAAAAGGAATTCATTCTCTTTCATTGCTGACAATCATGGGTGAGTGCATGTAGCAGTCACACTTTCCCCATCCCACCTTGTGCCTCCTTCCACTACAGGGGACCCCAAGAGGCCTGGTCCTGCTTGCTCAGTGCACCCCTGAAAAAGGGAGACCGGGAGATGAGGATCCTGCCAGGGGCCAGGTGTTGGTCAAGGTGAATATGAATATGGGGGAAGAAGATGGAGTCCTCCTCTGATGGGGTCAGGAATGCGGTGGGAGTGCTCAGGAAGCCATGGATCCACGGGCCTGCCTCAACAGCTGGAGTCTGACTTCTTGGGGATGCATTCTGACTCCTTCTCCCACACACAGGCTCTTTCCTTCTAGAGGCCCAGGGACAATGGCAGGTTCGCAGTGGCACTGCAAAGGTAGGGTTGGTGGGGGTTCCTGGGGAGCAAGGGCACCAGTCCTGCTGTGGCCCTGGCTGCCCTCTTGCCCAGGCTCCATGTACACCCTCAGAGTTCCCCTGGCACAACTTTTCTTCTTTCCATGAGGAACACCCTCACTTCCACTTGGGCCTCTGCCAGGAAGAAGGGTGGGAGCTCTGCTGAAGTGTCCCTGTGAGTGACCACCTGCAGTGGGAGGCATCCGCCAGGCCTCTGCACAGGAGCTACCCCTGGGCCTTGTGTGTAAAATGGGGGTAATAACAGTATCTGCCTCATAAGGTTGCTGTGAGAATTAAATGGGTTCCTACAAGTGAAAAACACTTAGAACCAGGATCCAGGGGCTTGCAAGGGGTGAGCTGGAGTAGCCATGGTAAGTAAGGAGAGGGAGGTGAACTGATGGATATAAAATCACCAAGGCAAAAATTTAAAAAACAAAAACAATAAGCAGCTGGGTGGCTCATGCCTGTAATCCCAGCACTTTGTGGGGTGCAGCAGAAGCATCACTGGAGTCCAGGAGTTTGAGACCAGTCTGGGCAACATAGTGAGACCTCATCTCTACAAAAAAAAAAAATCACTAAGGCAAGAACCTAGTATACTGTAGGCATTCCATAAGTGTACAATTTTTATTCCAATTATATAAAAATAAAATATATTTGAGTAGAAACAGAACTCTCGTAGGCAATAACAAATAATAGTAACTCGTTATCTTTTAAAATAATACGAGGTAGGACTAGAAGTGTTTTTTATACCATTCTGTGATTCAAACTTTTCTATAATGCACATGTATTAGTTTTATAATCAGGCAAGGAAAATCAGTGTTTTCTTTAATGCTGAGAATTTCTGTTAATATTTTTGACATTTCACAAAACATCTTTTGTTGACATTCTACAAATGATACCATCCAATAATGTCCCAATACTTTCTTCTTGTGAAGTGAGTTTATATATCTGAAAAAATGAAAGACAAATTATGACTTGCTGATAGTCATTCACTAATAATTGCCATTATATAAACATATGTAAGTGAAATCATTCCTCATTCAATCATTGGGTTCATGGTATAACAATGAATGTGATTAAAATATTCAAAATTGATGGCAATTTATTACTTGTATTTCCTTTAAATTGCTGCTATGGAGGCAACTCTCAAGAATATAAAAACCAAATTTCTATCCATTGTGAAAGCACATATCTAGATATAACTTCATATTAAATTTATTTTACATTTTAAATATACTATGTAAGTTTGATATTTAAAGGATTCACTTTCTTAATGTAGAGAATGCTTATGTCAGCTGAGTTTGTAATTATATTTTACATAGCCCCACACCTCCCAGTTCTTTGTATCTAATTATTTTTTAAGTAATTTAAAAAATTAACTTTCTCAAAAGTTCAAAAAATAAATAAATAAGGAGCCCTAGTGATCAATAGGCAGACAGCGTCAGCATTACTGCTCATCTATCACACTCCTTATAAAAACGTGGACTGGCAAACCTTTTTGACTTCTGTAATATTTGTTATTTCCGGAAGATTTTCCAGAGAAACCTGATGACCTTCTACTTGAGATATCAGGTATTCTTGATTTAGTTGTTTTTCTCCCTCTTCAATGTAAACAATTAGAATTGAAGTGTCATTTCCTGAGATACCAAATTTTTTCAAAGCTTCTGAAATCTAAGAGAAAAAAAATGGAAAAAAAAATTAACCATTATTTCCTATGTCTGAAACATTTCCTCATCTGCCTTCTTCCTTGGTCAGGCTCTTACTTTTCATGTCCTAACAGTTCTCACTGCCTAGGTTTTCACTTCCAATGATTCCTTTCCAACATCCATTGGTACTTCCTTGAAAGCACTCCCTGCTTAAAGGTACACCTTGTTCCTATGGAATCAAGCCCAGCCTTCTTGGCACTGCATGAAACCACCACTTCCCGCTGGTGCCCAGTGGCCCTCCAGCCAGGCGCTTCTGCCTTCTGGCCAGTCTGGCCTTCCTGGGGTTCCAGTCGCATTTCATGCCTTTCTGCCTGTGGCCAAGCTTCGTCCTCTGCTCGCATGTCCCATCTCCCCATGACTTCGCTGCTGAACACGTGCCTCAAGCTCCACAGTTCCAATGCCACTCCCCACTATACCCTCCTTCCTCTGAAATGAATGGCTTCATTGCTGTACCCCGAGATTTGAATTCATTTCCCATTATATCATTTAGGGCATTTTTAACTTGTTTATGTCTGTCTTGTTTACATATTTACTTCTTCTGCCCCTAGAACTATAAATGGAACAGGGAAAAGTTCAATAGATATTTACCGAATTCAAGAGTTTCCTGAATTATGTCCAGTGATCTTAAGGAAGTAATTAGTAAATCTTATTCCAGGTACTGGGCAACTCTATTACCGGGCTGAGATAACTGCATTTTATCAACTTTTCAATCATCTGTATTTTA